CATGGCTAACACTGTAAAATAGCTGTTCCCTGCTAATGAATCTAAAATGTCGTCGATTCTAGGAAGGGCGTAAGCTTCTTTAATGGTTTTTCCATTTAACTGTCGGTAGTCTACGCACATCCTAAGTGATCCATCTTTCTTCCTCACTAGGACCACACTTGACGACCATGGGGAATGTGATGTCTTAATCACTCCAGCTGCCAGTAGCTGTTGCAGAGGATCACGTACTTCCTGGTACATGCTGGGAGGGACCCGTCTGTACCTCATTTCCTATCTGTATTTGCCCTTCAGATAAACCTTCCGTATACAATTCCACCTTCTGTAGAACATCTTCGGACTTCTCAGGTTCTTGTAGCTGCTCAACATCCTAAATGTAGCTCGCAAAGTACAGAACGAGGCTGAATAGTAACAGTACGTGTTGACAGGTTTGAAATCCCAACTGAAAACATTCCTGTATCCTTGTATTTATAAGGTACGACTGTGGGCGTATTGTCCTCAGGTATTGATGATTTGGACGTTGGCTGTATTAAAGCACAAACTGGTTGGTATGGTAACTCCTTGTCCAAGAATCCAACTACAATCACTTCAGTGTTTGGCCTAATCGTTATCGGTTGATGTCCTGTCAAACCTACAAATTAAGAAATAACTAATACAAAATGTTAATGAACCATACACTATATATACCACGTCGACACACTGGACTGAAATAAAAAAAATCGAAAAGTAATAAGAATAACCAAAACTAATATAAGTATATATAAACTAAGAACCTGAAACTAGGAACTCAAAACACTATCCTTCTAACACAACTAAGAAAACAAAAGGCTGAAAAATACCAGCCTAGTGAGACTACAAAGAAACCAAAACCTCCACACTGAACTAGGTAACCTACATTGCCAAAAGTATCAACTAAAAGGAATAATTTCTAAGAACAACAACACAAACGATATCACAAAAATTGCCGAATGTCAAAAAATTCAAGTAAATGTCAATGTCAAGTCAGTTTATACTGGATTAATACTTCAAATAATGATATTAGTAATAGTTATATCCATCGGTGGGGATTTTGCTTCCGTTGGGGGGGGGATATAAGGTACAAATCTATCTAAACGTTCACAAAAAAACACTATAAATCTATGCCTTCAAAAATACTATGCTCCCTAGATACTAACGTTACACATGCTCACAATGTCATAACCCAACACAACATAAATATATATTTAAAAAAACAGCAGTATACACCAATACGGTGTCAATATATGAATAAATCAGTACATGAAATCTATATCAAAGTTTACGCAAGGAAAAATAAGAATGTGACACAATTTTACATGAAAAATCACAATAAATTCAAGATTATTAAATAAGAGTCAATGTTTTGGGGTTGTTGTTTTTTTCTCACTCGGACGACAAAATTTTCACGGCTTCTTCGCGGGTCAGGAAAAGTCTATAGATTATAGGAAAGTCAATGGATATAACTTACTTATATCCGTAGCAGGTCACAAGTGTAACATATAGCTGGTCGACGTGACGTCACACAGGTGCGAACACAGGTAGAAATAGGATAGCACACACAGCAGACGTTATATCTCAAAATTCCAACTCTGCACTTATTTTTGACAGCTCGACGCTGACAAATGAAACACATTATACACATGCGGCAGCTCTCAAATTGACTGAGCACTTCTCGTCGATCATAAATCGGACCTCTAGAGCCTCCATAGTAGTAGTGTTGCCTTTTTGTTGTATACACACCAAGAAACTCAGTTCGCAAGGGTTTCTCCAATATATTATAGACTTTACTTTTACCCTATTTGTGGAACAGGGCAGAGGGATCACATTGACAGCTGACGATGTATATTAACTTTTAATAATCTTTCAAAATTTCATCTTGTCAGTCAAGTGTCTATAGTCGGAGTGCCAAATAACGCGCCAAAATGACCAAAAACACAATACAAACAACACTGACCATTGGCTAAAGAAAGGAGACTCTATTACCAGAGTTGAAACTGAAGTGGGGAGTAGTCAAATTTATACTTCTAGGAATAGAATTTAGCGTTGATCTACATGTAATTCCTGAATTGAATTATGACAAAAATCTCTTACTCCCATAGGCAGAATTCATCTTATCAAATCATTAATGATATCACAGTTTAACCACTTATTTGTGTCTTTGCCAAATCCTGATAATAGTTTCTTGGATAAATTAAACTCAACACTTTTCAACTTTCAACAAATTCTGGAGTGATGTTTTTAAAGCTTGGATAAGTTTCAATGAAAGAGTGGTGGTGTAAAAACAAGAAAAAAATATCTAGAAAACTCCTATATGGTTTAGTAGAGACTTAGTGATTGGGAAAAAGAGTACATTCTACAAGACATGGTTTAATAAAGGGGTGGTTATAATAAATGATCTGTTTCAGGATTTTTCTAATGGCATTTTTTATACATTAGATGATTTTAATCAAATTTATAATGTTAATACAAACTTCCTTCAATATCATGGTGTAGTGTCGGCTATTAAGTCATTTTTAGCCAGATCTGAATATGAATATAGCTCACAATCCTTTCCAATCATTCCTAGTAATATTGAATATTTTATTAAAAAAAAGGGGGGGGAAACAAAAGACATATATAATCTTTTAGTTTAAAAAAAGTGTGATTCCCACTGGTAGAAAAAGATGTGAGGAAAAACTTGAATAAAATGATTTGAATTGGGGGGATATTGACAATAATTGTTTTAGAACAACTAAAAACACAAAACTGCAATGGTTTCAGTACAGAATAAATCATCACATTTTAACAACAAATTCATTTATGTTCAAATTAGGATTATTGAACAACCCACACTGTTTATTTTGTAATTTAGACAGGGAAACAATCATTCATATTATGTAGGAATGTCCAGAAGTGCAAAAATGTTTAGAAAGTTTTGAAAATTTACAAAAAAGAAGTTTTATTTGGGATTTTTAGTAATAATAGTAATAGATTTTGACATTATCAAATTTTATATATATAAGACAAGATGTCAACATAAAATGCTAAGTCCAAATGCTCTCATTATCTCAATTAAGGAATCTTATATTTGTCAGAAGTTTATAGCTAATGGCAAAGGAGACGAGGCAAACTTGAGTTTTGACTTTTGCAATTTACTGATAATTATACATGTGTTAAAATTTTACTGATTTTCTTTTATCTATTTAAAATTTTATTTTCTTTTTTCTTTTTTTTTTTTTGGATAGAATCTCTCCCAGATCGACTCTTGTCTTTCCAAACCCTCCCCCCCCCCCCCCCCCCCTCTCTCTCTCTCTCTCTCTCTCTCTCTCTCTCTCTCTCTCTCTCTCTCTCTCTCTCTCTCTCTCTCCTACCCCTCTCTATTTCCATCTTCTCTCTCTCTCCCTCTCTTTGCCTATTTTGTGTATCTGTCTCTGTGTGATGAGTATGTGTGAGCAGGTGTGGGTGTGCGAGTATGTGAGATGAGGTTGTGAATGGCATGTAGTTATAACGTATAGTAACTAAGAATATGTAACATGAAGACATGTTAATGATGATGGACATGTTTTTTTATGATATTGAGGTGCATGTTTTAATGTGAATATTGATGAGGATAACTATGTACATTATCGGATGTGAATGATGATGATGATGATGATGATGATGATGATGATGGACGGGTGGGTGATGGATGAATGGATGTTAGTGTTTTTGTTGATATTTGTATACTTCAATGTTTAAAATTGAAAAAAAAGTAAATATTAAAAAAAACTGGACAACACTAGTATAAGTTACACTGTACGCTTTTCTAAAGAGATTAGATTAAAGAGATATACGAAATGACAAATATACTATTTCAACAAAACGGCAAAATTAGACCACACATCCAATGTCTAAAGTATCTGTCTAATATACCGAAATATTGGGTACCTCTTCATCTACAAATGTACTTATAGGCTCTTAGTATAACTGACGCGTCCTAGACGGACGAAGCAGTTGTATTATGCAGTATCACTGACGCGTCCTAGACGGACGAAGCAGTTGTATTATGCAGTATCACTGACGGACGAAGCAGTTGTATTATGCAGTATCACTGACGCGTCCTAGACGGACGAAGCAGTTGTATTATGCAGTATCACTGACGCGTCCTAGACGGACGAAGCAGTTGTATTATGCAGTATCACTGACGCGTCCTAGACGGACGAAGCAGTTGTATTATGCAGTATCACTGACGCGTCCTAGACGAAGGGAGTTTTCTTTTTGGAAGATGATTTGATTTCTTCTACATTTTTACTTATATGTCGTTTTAAAGTTTCTAAACTACCACATAATAAAGATGGGAATAAAGGGAAAAACAAACTGACCGAACACGAGACAAATATAAAAAAAACGGCTTAGAATAAATATACATAGTACTGATCCTTAATGAACGGCAGTATTATCTGAATTAACAATTAAAAACAAAGAGTAACAGAGTCAAACATGTACATGTATATATTGGTTGAAAATATTCTATCCAAGCAGGGGTATAGAATTTGAGTTAAAACATGGGCTTTGTTTAGGCTCTGAACCCAAATTCTATACCCATGGGTGAGATATAATATAATCGTTCACCTTCTTTAGGGTGGGATAGGGGGATTTCCACCCGAGGAGGAAGATTATTAAGTTGTCAAACACGAGGTTTACCGGCGTCGCATAAGTTGTCTTCAGAACGTGCAAATAGCACGTGTAGCTGTGGCAAACCTAGGATGAGACAAGGGAATCTTACAATTGGGAAAAACGTGGATTTACCTATTCAGGGAACGAGAATCTATTATAATATTATATATAGTAAACACAATCCTGATCAATTAAGCAACTGGAAACTTTTCATTTATCCGGAACCCAGAGAATGTCCTACGGTGGCACTTACATCCATGTGTCACTCTATTTAGAAAGAGACACGTTATTATTGTTCCTGTAAAATACTTTGCAATGTGGTAATTGTTTGTTAAATAAACATTTCACAATTACCACACAGGGTAACACCACTTTGGAAGTTCTTTTCTTTTCATAAGTTGTATCTGATGGTTGCCATGATAGAGTGTGTAATATCCTGCACAAGACGTGAAACCAGCAACGTACCGTATATGTTTGTACATTTGACGTAAGAGATTAGAATTGTACGCAGAATGATTTGCCTTTTTTCCTTCATAGTCACCCGCCTGTGTGGATTGATGGAGGGCCACTAACGTATTAGTGGCGTCTATGGTAACGTGGTTTTGTTGCCTTGCATTCAATACCAACCAGTTATCATAAGCTGTCCGGCCAATGATGACTTCCGGTATATTCACCCATGGGTAACTTGCCGAAGTTATGAAGTAATCTTCGGCATGTACAGCAAATAGCTTCCCACGCCTATGGGCTGTCTTCTCTATATCTCTTACCGTTCTGACTTCATCTGACATTACATTCTTTACATTTGTTCTTCTACCAGTTACCATGATTAGCCTGTCGCTAGGTAGTAGAGAGGAATTCATCACAGCCCTCAATGTGTCTATCAGTGAATAAGAGTACAATATGTCACCGTTAGAGTAAGCATAGTATGGAGAATCGTACCTTTCGATGGCATCTATGTACATATATTTGAGAATAGGTACTCCATTTGCTGCTATTTTAACAGGAAGAACGTCCCAACCTTTTCTCAAAGCCTCTTTTGTCTGTGAAACCTCATTCGTGAAGAGGATCGTCTGTATAAACGGTTTGAATTCACTCCAATTACGAATTGTATTGTTGTAACATATGTACTTTTCCGGCTTTGTATGCCACGACGTGAACAAAGTCAGAAGTAATTCCGATTTATTTTCAACACCCCGATGTTTGGAGATGTTCTTAAATGATTGAAAATGTAACATTGACCCTTTAGTCACCCTTCTATCGAGGTCAAAGTTCCTCCTCGATGTCAAAACTTCCGTCTTTTCAAGGTCACCGTCAGTATTGGCAACATCACGTTCAGAGCGGCTACTCAAATTCAACTGTTTCCAGCCCTCCGTCTGTTTCCACCAATTTTTAATGTTGTTGATGGTGCCTTTATTCATTTTTGCGATAGAGTTTGTCTTCATGACGAAGGGATAATAAAGAATCACGTACACTAAGGCACTCGTTAAAAACAGCAAACTGAGCTGACAATTGGCACGCGGACACATACTTCCACAGCTGGACTTAGTCATGGTGCTTTACTGCAAAACAAAAATGTAAAAGAAATTAGACTTCCCTTTTTCGATACTTTGGCATACGTCTTTAATTTACCTAAATGAGACAAGTATGTTACACATATCACATAACATTGAACTGACGTTGATTCTTTGATAAGCTGATAAAACAGTGGAATAATTTCTCAAACGAAATTGTCCGTTTAAAAAGGAAAACTTCTGTGATATTTATAAAGATAAAGTCGAGTTCGGAGGTATGATCTTCCAACAGAAAAAGAAATACGCACAATCATACAGTCGAACCCGGTTTTATTGAAATCCTCGGGGAATAAGAAATACTTCAAATTAACCAGGTTTCAAATTAACCAGTATAAGCTTTTTCCATCATCCAGGCCTATCACATGTAAATGATGAAACAAAGCATATATATACATTCTTTATTTAATAACATTTCATTACAAACAGCTTAGTTGTCTATCTACAGCTTTAATAAGGACATATTTTTCATCATTTGCCAGTTGTTAACGATTCTTGCTGGACGAAGCCATTGTAAACACCTGTCGCTCTCTTTTACATACAAAGTTAAACTAACCAAAACATTTGTTCCAATAAGAAACACAGTTTATTTATTAATGTATCATATTTTTACCTGGTTATTGCACTACAGATATAGACTCATCCAAGCGTGACGACACTGCTCACGGGCGCCAGGGTGGCCTTCACAGTAAGCGATGTGAAAACAGTTTGTTAGCACTGTGTACGGCCAGTATTTACCTTTCAAATAGTGTGGGATTTCAAATTAACCTGTTTCAAATCAAATTCAGTGGATTCAACTGTATATTTATGTTAATGTTACAACAAGAGATCTTCCCCATAGCAAAATATACTACTAGCTTAATAAGAGTAAAACAATTCTTTTGAACGGTTTCAGAGCACTGAGTCGGAAAAACTGAAATTTGTGAGAAGGATTAACTGTTTCCACGGTAACAGAAAATATATGTATAAAGTTTCTAACAACATATCTAGATTATAAAAATTGATCACAAAAATCTTCAAAATGAATGTACAAGAGTTTCCCTTTCAGAGTTAAAGAGATGGCAGAGAGGACTATCTATTATCGTTGCTTTAAAAGAGAAATGAGTTTGTAGTCAAAATATGATGAAAGACAATATAGTTTTCGTTTTGTTTAACAAATCATAAAATGCTTTATAACCTTCAGTTTTTTAAGCATTGTTGACTTGTTTTTGTGTTTACTTTACTTACTTACCATAAAATTCATAATAAAATGACATTGCATAGATTTAAAAAAAATCCTTAAGTGACGAAATAAGGCCCTGATATCTTAAAAAGTTTGCATTGACATGAAATTTATTAGTAAATTCAGCAAATGTATTAAATGAACCAGTGTTGTGATCATTACTTAAGCCATTTATTACAACAATGTTTTTCTCATATTTTGTTTTTATAAAAAATAGTTCTTCTCCTATCTTTATGTTACTGTTGTACAAATAGCTACTCTTAGTATCTACACATGAAAAACTCTGTCATAGTACTTAGTATTAAAAACATACAAGGATATAGGGACGTCCCTCCAAAATCATTTTTACACTTCTTAGTACACATAGCAATGTATTCACTACCACAATTTGTTAGAAGATCTGAACTAATATAAGTTTTTAATATAAATTGCCATTTCTCGTTATTGTGAAAAAGTCTTCGTATCCAAGTATGTTTTAGTGAGTCAAAATAAGGCAGTCAGATAAACCATTTTCAAACCGCCATTTGCAAAAATTTTGAATTATTATCTCCCTTTTGACTTTATCTGGTCTACCATTCCATAAGTAATCATAAAATATGAAATTAAGTCTCTTACGACATGTGTTGTCAGGATTGGGTAGAGAAATATTTTTTTTTCCAAATTAAAAAAATAGCTAGTAGGTTTTTTTCCTTTTTCTGCCCATTTAGCCGTGATCTAATGATACTACCTTTGATTTTATGTGCGCTAATTTTTGTCTAAGTCATTCTCTTTGGCATTCAGTTCATCTATGTTAACATTCTCTTTAGATTCAAGCTCTTGAGTTATTGTTTTGAAGGTTTACTTCCCGTAAGTTTTGCTGTGGTAAGTTTTACCTCTTATTTCCATAAGTAAAGTTTCTAGAAATAACTGGTCATTAATAGTAAATTGAAGCTCTGAGTTCGGAATATCTGAAATATTATTCAAATTGTACACAGGCACACAGTAATGACTGCGTTTATTTTACAGAATATTAACCAAATTAGGGTATTTTAAATGATGTAAAAGAGAATTATTTAGTTTCCATGTCCACTTACCTTTCTTGAATTCATTTAGTGTGAAAGATATTCTCGGAAAAGAATGGTCAGTTCTATAGCCTGGATCTATATGTAAATAACTGACACTATACAATAAACTATTTGAGATAAGAAAATAATCCAATCGAGCTTGTTTAACTGGGTTGTTTTTCCTCAATGTGTATATCCTGCCATTTTCATGTTGATCTCTAAAAAGATCGACCAATCCATTGTTATGAATAATTATATTTAATACTTTGTCCCTGGCTTTCGGATTATTCACCTTTTGATAAGTATTGCCATAATCAATGCCTGTGATATTCATCTTAACGGCAAAATATAAATCATATCGTTGCCATATACAATAGTAAATTGAAAATTTATTTGTCTTTATGCGGCCTCCATTTGATTGTTTCAGAGTCATTTCAATTATTGCGCATTGTTCAAATTAATATACGTTGTAATGATCGAGCTGTTTGTGTTCTGCCCCTAGCCCCGGCTGACCTTAGGCAGACAGATAACAAAGACATTTATTGGGTCCCAGTAAGAACTACAAAATTAAAACAAATACAGAGTAACCTCAACGCTCTATCTGGTCAGTTACACTCACATTGATAATAATTCAAATGAGAAATCTCTAGGTTATGATCTATTAAACACTTCAGTCGTACATCATATAAACTTCAGGTAAAAAGTTACAATCATTTCCTTCTACACTGATATACAAACTGCAACCTAATTCAACGTTCAAGTATCACTTAACTTGACATCTTTAAAATGAAGGTGAGTTATATTACATGAACAATGCCTCGTATACGTAGATATTTGTTTTACAACTATAAAATATACATGACTTACATCAGAGTGCGCCTGTGACTAGATTCACATGTATTGCCCGACACCGCAAAGTGACCTGCCGTCTGTGCACTGGAAGAGTTGTAAATACTACTAAATTAACCAGCACAATAATCGGACGAAACGACCTACACAAATTTAACCGCACATGTTTCATGTAAATATGTAAGACACTCCTGGTGTCATGCTTATTCATACAGATATAACGTAAAATGGTATTTCTTAAAATCATATTGTCAGTATTTTGTCAACGAGACTTACTGAATATACGGAAACTATTGGATAGTTTCCCAAGTTTGTGTTCCTGGCAAAACGTCGGCGGCTAGCATCGAGTTCAGTAAAGGGAGATAATGCTGATCACATAATCAAATATAGTTTTCAGTATATTTGAAAGCATATAACCGATTAATGAGAAAGACGAATGATTACTTCTCTAATAGCACAACGATTTCTGTAACTGGTCGAGTCAGAAATGTCACATTTCCATCCTTAACAACCCTCACTTCTGCCTTGCGAACCTTGTCATCGCAAACACTTTTGAACACTCTCTCAACAGTGCCCATAGCCCATGCACAACGAGGAGCTGATTTGTCACGAAGAAGGATGACGTCGTCTTCTTCTAGATTTCGACGATCATCCTTCCATTTTCTCCTGGTTTGCATAATCTGAAGATAGCCATCGCGCCACCTCTTCTAAAACATCTCGGAGAGAATTTGCACTTGTTTCCAATGGGAAACAAACAAGTCCTTCTCAGAGAAAGTCAATTTCGCGACTGGATCCGGGTAGCATATTTTTTGGTTCAATAGTGTCGCTGGACTGAGAATTTCTGGGGCGTTTGGGTCATTGGAAATCGAAGCCACGGGTCGAGAGTTTACGATGGCGCACACTTCCGCCATGAGGGTGGTAAGTGTGTCATGGGTGAGGTTTTTAGCCGAAATACTAGACATCATAGAATCCAGGATCCTCCGTACAAGCCCTATCATTCGTTCCCACACTCCTCCCATATGGGAGGAATGGGGAGCATTGAATTTCCACACGATACCCGATCCATCTAGGTACTCAGAAATCGGTTCGTCTCCTACTTTGATACTGGTAATGCCGAGCTCTTTTACTGCCCCAACGAAGTTGGTGCCACAGTCCGTTTCCACGTTTCCACGAAAGGCCACAAAACTTCTAAGAGCATTAACGAAACAAGCACTGGACATTGACTCAATAACTTCCACATAAATCGCTCGTGTCATCAAGCAGGTGAATAGTATCGCCCACCTCTTTGAGCTTGCAGATCCCCCTCGCGTCTTCCTGGTTACAACTGACCACGGTCCAAAAGCATCAACACCGACGGCAGTGAAAGGGGGGCCGGGTACAAGCCGATCCTGTGGAAGATCGGCCATCTTCTGACGCTCCAGCCTACCACGCAGCTTCCTACACGGGACACAATCTCTGATGATACTGGACATCAGCCTTTTCGCGCCAATTATCCAATAACCGTTACTCCTAAGTGCCCCTTCGGTGAACTGCCGACCTTGATGATGGACACGCTCGTGATAATGTCGCACCATGAGAAGTGACACATGGTGCTTCTTTGGTAAGATCAACGGGTTTGTCTCTTGGAGAGGAAGATTACGGAGCTTCAGTCGACCGCCAACCCTAAGTAAGCCTCTGTCACCTATGTAAGGATCCAGATCCTTGATGGGACTAGACTTTGCCACTGGCTTGCCATTCCTCAGGTGGGATATGTCGTTTCCAAAAGCAGAATATTGCACCTGCCTCAAGACCGCATCTTCTGCGTCACTTTTGGCAATAGGGGCTGAATCATAGTCCGCGCCAACTTCAACCTTCCTCTTTCTGAAGCGTCGCACCGCCTCCTTTATCCGAACAACAACATGCACAAGACGTTCCCATCTGGAGAAGCCTTCAAATCGGTCGCAGAAATCTCCTACCACAGTTTTGTTTGACACAATTGTGACGTTGGGTCGTATTTCTTTGTCGTTCTCAGGATTCACCAACTCGAACGCATCCACCGATGGTTCGACGCGTTTAAGGTCCCGGAGCTGTTTTGGTCCTAACAGCCACAAACTGGTTTCGAAACCTTCCACCCTAGCTAAAGATCGCGTTGCCTGATCTGCGGGATTGTTAACGGTGGCGACATATTCCCACTGGGAAGGGTGTGAACTCTGCAGAATCCTCTCCACACGATTTGCTACATAAGTATGGAATCTCCTTGACTTGTTATTGATGTAGCCAAGGACAACACGGCTATCACTGTGATAATTCACATCCTGCAGACCCAGTGTTTCACTAACAACCTGCCCTACCTCAACCGCTAGGACTGCGGCGCACAGTTCAAGTCTTGGAATAGAATGTCCCTTCGAGGGAGCTAATTTGGCTTTACCCATGACGAATCCGACGTGTGATCTGTTGTCCTCAGTAACTTTCAAATAAGCGACTGCTGCCACCGCCAATTCAGAAGCGTCACAATATACATGCAGCCGAACGTTCTCGGCCGTGCTTATCGACACAGGTGTGTACATCCTTGGGACATGCATGTCCTTCAATTTCAATAAGGACATCTTCCAGTCGTCCCATTTTTTGGGTATTCTTTAGGTAGAGGTAGATCCCAGTCTACTCCTGAAGTCAACTCCCTCAACAAAATCCGTCCCTGGATGGTAAATGGAGACAGAAAACCCATGGGGTCAAAGATGCTGTTCAAGGTCGACAACATCTCTCGGCGTGATTCCGCTTGTTCTGAGAGCCGCACTTCAAACTGAAACGTATCGGCAGCCATGTTCCAGGATACGCCAAGACTACTCTGAGTAGGTAAATTGTCAGGGTTAATGTCTAGTGACTTGAGCTCTTCGCGTAAATCTTCTGGCGGAAACGATTTAACAACTTCCACACTGTTAGATGCAACCTTATGTAGGCGAATGTTGCCGTTGTATCGCAAAGCCTCCTGGGTTCTTTTCATAAGTTCTGACACCGCCTTTGCGTCTGGGCCTGTCGTCAGGGCGTCGTCCACATAAAAGTCATCCGTGACAAAGTTTCGGACATCCATGTCGGCGCTTTCAACTGCCTTACGGAGAGCAAACGTTGCTATTGCAGGGGAGGGGCTATTTCCAAATGCGTGGGCACGCATCCTGTACTCAATCAATTCCAAATCTGGATTGTTGTCCTGATACCACAGGAAGCGTAAATAGTCTCGATGATCCTCCTTTACCAAAACCCGATAAAACATCTGCTCAATGTCTGCACACACGGCATATCTGTCGCGACGAAAGCGCAGCAATATTGCTAGCAGACTGTTTGTCAAATTTGGGCCCGACAGCAAATTTTTGTTCAACGAAACACCTTTGAACTCCGCCGAAGAGTCGAATACGCCACGGATCTTCCCTGGCCTTTTCTGGTTGTAGATACCGAAGATAGGAAGATACCATACCTCGCCTTGTGGTGGTGGGGCAACTTATGCAGCTCCAGATGCAATGACTTTCTGCATAAATGATACAAAGTGGTCCCGTTTGACTTTATCCCTCTTAAGGCTGGTGTCCAGAATCATAGCTCTCTTTAATGCTACTGATCTATTGTTTGGCATTTTCTTCAAGGGATTACGAAAAGGTAAGGGAGCTGTCCAAAATCCATTCTCTTTGACACATTCACGATTCATGAGATCTATGAACATCCGGTCCTCAACTGACCATGCCGGTTTCTCGTCATCCTTTGTTTTGGCAAACAGTTGGTCGTACTGTATTGTTTCGTTAAGGCGCAAGTTGTGTGGACATGGCGTAAATAAAGACAAATGTCCATTGATATTGGTCTTGAAGGAACTGATCACAACCGGCCCATCAGGTGGGTGCACCTTGTTGGGGCATACTTCACCCACGATTACCCATCCCAATCTGGTCCTTTGTGCGAAGGGTGACCCTCGGGGGCCGGTGATTTGTTGGAGCACATGGTGTGCTTCTGGGACGTCCCTTCCAATTAACAAACCAATCGAACAGTCTGGTCTATATTCAGGAATGCATGACGCTAAACTGCCGAGATGACTGAAGTGACGGACAACTTCCGGAGTAGGTATTTCTGAGTCATCAGATGGGATGTTGTTACATTCAATCAATGGAGGTAAACAGAAACTATCAGATCCATCGCTTGACCGGATGACAAGGCCCCTTGTCTTACGACCCTAAAGTTTGAAGTTTCCTGAGCAGAAAGATAACGTGTAATCAATTTCAGTTCCGGTAACTCCCAAGGTATCTAACAGTACACTTGAAGCTAAAGAGCGGTGTCTCCGGTCATCAAGAAGAGCATAAACAGAAACCGATTTTCCTGGCTCGTTTTCGAATGATATGTCAACTAGAACAACCTTTGCACAAGAGCGTCCACGAAACCCTTCTCCACAGACTGAGGTACATTTGTTTTTTTACATCATTACGTCCCTCCCCGCCATGCGGCAATTTCACTTTGGCATCAGGAATGTCACACTTATCAACAGATTCAATATTGATCCTAGGATGATGCAAGGCTGTGACATGCTTACCACTGCCACATTCTGAACATTTAACTCGGACATCGCAGTGTTTTTTTATATGCTTGTTGCTTGCACAACACCTGTAACAAATTGATTTGTCCTTCAGAAACTGCTTCCGTTCCGACAGGGATTTTTTAAGGAACTCCCTACAATCCTCAAGGGGGTGAGTGCAGCTGGCTGGGTGGATGGGACAGTACCTTTCTGATGTCCGACCAGGCTTTTCCTGTTGTATCTCAGTTTTCTTTACCTTTTCCCCCGGTCCACGTCGCCGCGTGAACGCTGACTCCCATATTCTCTTACTTGATTAGTGTCTGACGAATTCAGCATCAGGCCAGGGTCATTCATCAGGCGGGCCATGTCCTTTGCGAACGATACAAAATACGAAAAAAGGAGGGAAGGCAACATGTTTTGTATTTTTGTACGAAAAGGCTCTGTCTGTCCACTTTGACTGCACTCTGGGAGGTAACTTGGTCAATACTTGCCTAACGCCCAAGGGAGAGTCATAATGCGACAGGATCTGTTGATATTTTGGATTGTCCTTAAGTACTAGGATTTCAGTGAGCACGTCAGCAAGCTCATACATTTTGGACTTATCAATAAGCTTTGGAAAGCCATCCAACTTGGATCGTAGGGCTGCTTCCACTGCTTCTGGGCTCCCATAACGTTCATCTAAACGTTCCCATAACAGTTTTCTGCCAAGAACTGGGTCACTGCCATTGTAAACAAACTAGTTCAGGATTATATTAGGAAGTAACCCAATGTTATGACTATTGAGTTTGAGCATTAATCGAGATGATCTCGTCTGAGATAGTTTCATACATGTAGTCTTAATTTTGGCTTGATGAGCTCAAATATTTGAAGAAATTAGATTTTTCTCCCAGCAGATAAGGCCACACAAAGTCCATATGCACAACACACTAGCCAAAACTGTTTGGGTTTAAAACCCAATTTCAACAAGTTTTAATAGTTTTAATAACAAAACAGAAACTTCATAACTGAAAAACAGTTCAACAAATTAAAATTTTAAAGAAAGTAAGTTCAGGTAAATTTCAGATTTTTTTTATCGTCGTCTGCACCGTCTGCCATTGCATTGCCTCACTCAAAACACCGTATGATGTAACGCGTGAGCCGATAGGCCAAGTAACGGTAACCCTCGACCAATCAGTAGTCGTGTTTTATTCTGCTTTATGAAGCTAGTTTATAGATCGACACGAGGTGACGCTCAGATTGCCGATTGAATCTTTCTGTCCGTTTGGTTATATAGGTAATTTATATACGATGTAGTCATTTCAAAACCGATTATATAAATCATTGATCGATTAATCGATTTTTAAAGGCAAACGAGGCGACGTCGACGAAATCGATTGATCGGAACAACACTAAATAGTAGTATATAAAAACAACCATAAGTATATCAGTTATTTCATGTACAAGCTTTTGACAAGTATATAAAGTGTTTGTATTTAAAACCGAATACAAAATACGATAATGGACTGTAAAAGTAGGCGCGCCGATCATAACAAGCCGGCGAATACATGAACGTGGGCTAACACACCGCGCGTTGTCAGTGGAAAATCTTTATAGACCAAAGTAAATTAATCAGATCTCAAGATATGCACATCACCTTGGATACTAGCAGTATTACTTCAGAAAATACAAGTACAGTCGAGACCCGATAATCCGTGCTCCGTTGGTCCGGAAATCTCGCAGTCCGGACGAGAATCGACGGGAACGGATTTCCGTAACGTTATTTTGAGCTACTAATCCGGAAATCCGGATTCGCAATCCGGGCACAATTTCCGGGAACCGAACCCAGAAATATGGTCTTTTTTGAGTCAATAATCGGGACGGAGAAAATACAAAAGAATTTTTTTTTCAGTAAAAATAGACCGCTATTTCATCCTACCTGACTGAGGGCATTGTCCGTCACACATGATTGTATATCGATTGTACCAAGCTGACCTCTGTCTAATGTCACCGTAAAATGTTTGCAATGTTATTAAGTCGTCCTATTATAAACTGTTTTCCAGGGTGAATGAAATTAATAAAAGCGTTTGTTTTGAAATTGGCGTTGTTTATCCTTTCGCCATAATGTCGATCTCTTCCATGCAGGTTGTTATTATACGCGACCACTCGGCTTGGACAATGATCAGTGGTATAAAACCCGTTAGGTAACCTGGGTGTAAATACTAGGATGATTGGATTAACGGTGTTCAGTGAATACGTGAATTCTGTTAAATTCAAATATAACTGTGTATACATTCTGCCCGGGACCATTCGGAAGATCATATCGCTTTCAGTCACTCATAATACAGTAACCGCATCGATTTATCTGTTTTGTTATAAGATTTATTTTTACGTTTGAAATCAGATATTAATAGTTTTTTTCTTTTTTTTTTATTATCATATGTTTAATAATATGTACAATATACATAATATTTCACAAACATGCATCTTTCAAACAACACACATGACGTGAATATGTACCATGTGCAGGCATACGTACTCAGTCCGGCATACGTGATCAACACCTCTGGATGGTAATGACAAGTTCGACGGTCATCAAGGTCATGTTCCAGCAATCCGGAAGATTCACAATCCGGACAAATACTGCTGGGGACCAATGTGTCCGGA